GTTTTCAGTGTTTCATGAATCTAAAATATCTAATTACCATTTACTAGTTTCTGAAGAGCAATTTGTTTTCATTAAGGAATACATGTTCTTAAAACTTGAGGTTGTACTCTCTGAATTTTGATGCATGTCTTTACTTGTCAAAAAAGTACATAATGCTAGCTCCACCCCATCCCCCCTTTTTCCCAATATATTGAAGTTGTACTTCAGATCTCTAGCTACTGCAAGCAATTCTCTGAGGATGAAGACAGAAAATGTACATACACATAGGAATTTCTTTTCCAGAGCTAAAATTGACATTTTATAAATAATTTTCATTTTGCAAACTTGAGACTTAAGAAATCACAGCAATTCAGTGATATGCATTTGGCATGAGTCAGTTTTAGTTCTTAGTGCTTTTCATTGGAAATGGCATAAAAAGTAAGATAGCTCTGAATTTTTTATGCTATGGGCTTACAAGAAACAGAAGATGTTTTTCTCTTATAGATGTGTGCAGTGCATGGCAGCAGAAGTAACGAAATGGTCACAAACCCCAGCAGTACTTTGCAGGTCACATGCACTCTTAATTTTTAAAGAATCTCAAAACAACTTAAGCAGTTGATAACAAGTCATTTCTAGGTGATAAAGGGTATTTGATATGGGATGTTGCTTTTCTTTTCACACCTCATTTTTACAGTGGATTAAACTGAAATTTATTTTATATACTGGTGAGTTTATGTGTTTTAAAATATTTAACTTAACTGCTAGTTGAATATTCTTTTACTTTTTTAAAAAATGTTTTCACATTGATTTTTGAGGTCTTAAATTTTTTCTTTCAAACTTTTTTTTCTTACTTGAGTTACATACACACACACACACACACACACACACACACACACGCACATATATAAAATAATGAGCTGACCTAAAAAGCTATGGAAGATTCAAATTGTTTGTGTTATTCTTAAAACATTAGTCCTATTTATCATTGCCTTCAGTATAAGTGCAGTTGGATGCTACTAGGAGAGAGAGAGAGGAATTACAATAACCATTTTTAGAAGTATTTATGCATTTGTCATTAAAACACCTTTGTTTTAAACTAATTTGAAGAGCATTGCTTCAAAATGTCTTCCTTTGAATGCAAGCATTGGGAACTGTAGACTGGCACTTTTGAAATTTAGTCTAGACTTTCAGTGACCTAGCAGTTGATAGGAAAACATAAATTTAAAAATAAATAGCATATTGGATGAACTGTACTATACTCATGAAAGAAGCCAGAAAATTATGGATTAAACTGAATTTAAAAGTAATTAGAGTTTTAAGTCCTAAATCAGATTCATCATTAAAATGAAATAGTAGGTCCTTGACCCTTGGGCATGCTTCAGATAATCATGGAATTCAGTATTGTTTTTAAAACTGTTTTGGTTTTATAAGCTAAGACAGATGTACAAAATAGATGTAGTTTTTATTTTGTATTGGCAGCTTCCAAATATTTAGTATCTATTTCCAAGAGTTGCAATTAGTAAAGCAACCATGGTACTGAAATCTGCACATCCCACAAGCTAATTATATTTGCAAGGTCAGAGTGAATACATATTTTCAGAAAAATAAAGGGTTATATAAATATGTGTCTTCTACTTGGCTGTTATATCACAGTTTGTTGATCTGGAGTATAATGTGTACAATTCACAAATTTGTCTGATAACAGAAAGTGGTGTGTGATTGTGTTTATTTTACTAACCAGTATATTCACAGCAATCACTTCCAAATATCTCTCCAGTAAAGATGTGTTAATTACAAAACAGACAAGGTCTTCTATTATATTAAAGCTACTAACAAGAAGACAGCAGGAATCACACATGTAAATAGCATCATCAACCCCTATTTTAGTCCTCTGTTTTGATCTGTGAGTTGCGCATAGACCAAAGGTGCTATTAAAGACTGAGTGTATGAAATAGGCAGCATTATATGAACAAAATTTATTCAACAAGAAAACAGACCTTTAACATGAATTTAACAAGCCTGAGAAATTATAAACTATCATATGCTGCAGATTCATGCAGTGATAATAAACAAAAAAGGAAAGTAAGAGGTTTCCCTAAGCTAGCCAAACTGCTAATGGTTTTGTTATAAGCTGTCTACTGTTGCAGTGACCTCTGAAAAGTCTCAAGGCACTTGTACCAGAAAAAATTAAATGGTCAGGCTGGTGAACAGAGATTTAGTGTGGTGTGCAGGACGTCAGCAAGGAAGGGAATTTGAGAAGTATAGCATCACTTTCCAGAAATTATTTTTTATACTTTAGCTTAGAGGTTTTATTGTTACCTGTTAAAGAAGCAAGTTTTGTGTGATTATTTGGCGGGAGGGGGGGAAGAGTTCACTTACTACAAACCAAACTGGTTTAATGTATATGCGCTTCAAAAACTACTTAGTGAACTATTTAGAAAATAACAGAAAGCTCCAAAAAATGTGTTATTCCTCCTGCCCCCCCATCCTGTAATTAATTCTTGAGAGTTCCTTGCTTAATATATGGCATCTAACATTTCTGTTCCAAGACATGAAGTGACCACTTTGCTGTCATTCTCTTGAATCATGCTCTAAATACACAAACATGGAGAAACGCGTTCAGCTTATGCAGACCTCCAAATGCTCACTAAATCTTTTTCTTGAAACTTACTGTGGCATAATTAACACCTTCTTCACCCATTGCTCATTAGTACACTGGACATTAATGAGTCTATTTTGATAGGTTGCTCTAAAAGAGAAACCTACTTATTCTCACAGCATAAAAAGCAATTATAAAATTGTACAGAAATTAAAGTGTAGACTATATTGCCATATTTATATTTTTATTGCATGCTAAATCTAATTTTGGTCTGCAGGTTGCTGAACATGTTAGTTTCCTTAAGATAGTTGCTATAGCAATGGCAGCAAATTCCTTTAATCATAGTGTAATCATTTCTATTGACTATCATATCCTTCCTCAGGAATTGTCAATCTAAACATGTCATTTCACACAGGCTATCATTTATTAACAATATATTAAATCCTTACATTTTTCTGTTAATTTCTTAATAGAATTAATTTAAAAAAAATTTTTAACAACATAATAATCTCCTTAACTGGTGTATTCATTTCCTTTTTGTGAAGTTTCACGCTTGCTTATAATATTCTAGAGAGATAGGGCAGAGACTTTTCACTTAAATAGCTATCTGCTGTTTTAGTTGGAAAGCATTCAGTATAAAAAAGAAAACATAAGTAGATATGTACTTTCATTGTGGTATATAATGAAATTTCCATAGTTTTGTGGATTTTCTTCTACAAGTGATTTTATTGAAATATAAAAATGGAATTTAAAAAATTGACTCAGATGATACTTGGCTCTTTAAAATTTACCATTAATATTTAGGGAGGCAGTTCTTAATTATGACTTTGTATAAGTTGTCTTTCAGAATGGTTGCTTTCCCCTCCTTTATTAACAGTTTTAACTTGGTATTATTTTATTTACTTTTTAGAACAAAATTTTACTACTATGGGTTCTTTTAAACTAAACATGTCTGAGATTAGTGTGTTAGTTACTCTATGAAGAAAAATATTATTTAAATGTAAATATAAAAATAGGCCATTTTTACTATCTTTAAATGTGAAAGTTAAGTCTGGGTTAAGATTATTGTATACAAAGATAATTTTCACAAACCATATTCTGAGTATGCTTATCTTTATTTTGAAGTAAGATGAATCTTTGGGAAAATTTGAACTGTTGAAAATAAAAGCACAATTCAGAGTTGCCTTTTTTAGGCCCAGTGGAATGAACAGAAACTTTGATTTGCTTGTCATAGTATTTTCTTACAAGTTTATATTTCTGTGTATGTAATCTTTGGACTCTACATAGCGGCCTTGTTAGAAAGGGTTTGATTTTTAAAATGTCATTCTTAGAAGACAGCATGTAGAAATACTTAACCTGAAAGTAAATATTTTCACTCAAACATTAATTGTAAAAATGAGAACAAATCTAGCTGACAGCTTTTTAAAAACATTGACAAATCTTAGTTGTTCAACACTTTTAAAGGTGAATCTGAAAATACTGGATTATCCTGCTTTAAGATTGTTTTATGTGACACATGTATTGAGTTAAATTCCCTTAAAGAGTCTATTTGTCTGAAATTCACATGGTTTTACCTAAAATTTTGTGATGTTTAAAAATGTTTACAAAATTCCTTAAGTCCATAATAATGAATGCAAGTGTGATAGCAATAAGGGAGTATGAGATTCTTGTTAATCCTTAGTATGTGAGAGCTAGCAGATGATAATTGTGTAAGAATTCTAAGATTTTCCATCCAGACAAAAAAAGTATCTATCATTATTTCTTTACTGTGGACTTAGAGCCATATGATTGTATAGCATATCTCCCAGTTTAAAACATGGATGACCTTAATTTTCCTATATGGTGCCTTTTTACACTTGACAGTGGCTTGAATTTAACCATCAGACAAGATATAAAGTCTTTCATAGTCACAAGAACTAAAAGGTATCTGACTAGAAGAGACTCTTTGGGCAAGTGCCTTGTTGGCTGTAATTTTGTTGTCATTTCAAGTACTGTGGTGGTATAATTGATGTGACAGGGCTGGGCTTTAAATGTAGTCCCTTAGCTTGTGCTCACTTTCAGTTTTACTTTTCTGTCATTCATTTTGAGTAGGTAAAATTCAGGTTACAAACATATGCACACCAATGAGGGCTGTTGGTGTAAGTTTAGTAATGATGTATTTTAATAATAAAGATGCAAAGTTAACATTTTTCCTCTACTACTTCATGAAAATTGCAATAATTGGTGTCACCTTACATTACAAGATAGAGGGTGGTGTGCTGATGGCACAATCAGCAGGAGGTTCTTTTTTATTAATATTATAATTAAATGATTTTCTGGAAATAGGCCAGAAACAGATGCAAGTTGATCATGCCTTGTCCACTGTTGCCTGGCATCATCACTTGTATTAAAGAAGAATTGACTTGACACCTTGTTTTTACAGGTTGTTATTGATGCCTTCAGATTGATCAATGCTAATATGATGGTCTTAGGACATGAACCAAGACAAACGACTTCAAATCTGGGTCACTTAAATAAGCCATCCATCCAGGTAATAGCATGTGTTAAAACTCTGTTTTGCATTTTAAAAACTTCTATAAATAAAGTCATCTTAAAATCTAATCCTTAGCATTTTAATTGCTTATAGTTTAGTTTTTGTGTTTTAAAAGAATTATGGAATTATTGTAAAAGTTAGATTTGTTCATCTATGAGTCTAGTTACAGTATAGTCTTTACAGTTTCTCACCATATTTTGAGGGCACTCTTTTTGGGAATATACTAGAGCCTTTATATCCAGATTATCTTCTATATGGTTAACATTATAGAAAAGGACTGATAGGCATTTCAGCTGGAGAAGATTGGCTATCATCATTGCTTAATTAGTTCATAGACATTTTTCATAACAGAAAATAATGGGAAAGCTAATATATTTTTTAAACCCCTATATATTTCTTAAATATTTAAAACTTTCTACCTTTATATTTAATCTTCACCTTTAAAGTAAATTATATAAAACACACCCATACATTACTTTTTTTTTTTTTTTTTTTTTTTTTTGGTACTGGGAATCGAACTTGGGTCCTTGTGCTTGCGCAGCAGGCAGTGAAACCACTGAGCTAAATCCCCAGCCCCCATACATTACTTTTGATGAGAATTTATATCATTTTATCTAGAGATATCAACCAGTGTTATTGTAGTTACTGGTATTCAGACACTTAATATCCTCTTGAGTAATGAATGTTTTCTTTGTATCGTTCACATGCCTCATTGTTTAAATACAAATTTATATCGTCTGTAAAAATTATTTCAAATGTGTTTTTAAATGTACCACAGCCTCTGTGTGTTTAATTACTTCTCTAAAGATTAATTAAAAGGACAAAAATAACATGTTTGGTTAAATAGGACGTGTAAGACAAGGACATTATCATAGCTATTGTTGTTCCCTTCTGGAACCTGGTTCTGCCATGAGGTTGTCTTTGGGGAATTGTGGCTTTGACAGTTAACTATGGTTAAGCTTTGGTTACACTTTGATAACTTTGTACTTTGAAATGCTTCATTTTGTAGCAGTCACTTATGTGAAATCTTCGTCAAAGGAAAACGTTTTGTTTCAAAGAGTTGAGGTGTGTTGCTTTTGAAAAAAAAATTTGCAAGTCAGGGAAAACTGCAAACTGTAGTGAGTATGAAATACACCACCAGCGATTTTGATTGGGCATAGACAAGCCCATACTTGCATGTTTCAAGAGAATACATTATTGGACCTGTTTAGCCTGTGATAATGACCTTTCTTATAAACCCCAATAGCATCATACTACTTCATTATTTTTTGCAAAAGGCTAAGTAGCATCTCGCAATCCAAAATGATTACGATCACTACATGGTTTATTTCTGCCAGAAGTTTTTACTAATTGCAAGCCAACAGCCACCTGTTGCAGATTTCAATTTTAAATTAAGACACTGCTTTTTAACCTTAAATGTTGAGTGTAATTGATAGTAAAATTATTTCTTTCTACAACAGGCCATGTTGTAGTTTTAAATTCTACCTTATAGTCTGTAATTTAAGGTGGACTTTATGAAGCAGATTCCAAACTTAAGCAACCTATGTCTATAACAGCTACAGCATCATTATTTTTCCTTTCATTTTTAGTTTGTTTTGCCTTCTAATTAGAATCTGTAAATATATTTATTTCACAGTTTATATAGCGCCCATCAGAATGACATCTATCTGGGTGCTTTACAGTTTTAAGACAATTTTAATACTAAAACATACAAATGAGATTAAGCCAAAAAGTGATGGAACAAAGCCACACCTTAACATTTTCTTATTTTTATAAGACAGGCTAGAGGGAGAGCAACCCAAAAGGGCCTAAAATTGATAATATCCATAATAGAGTTTTAATACATGTTAACCAAATCTTTAACTTATGAATTAGAAGTCTTTCAGAAAAACCATGTCTTTTATTGTGAAAGGAAAGTTAGCTGATGTTACAAGAGGGAACCTGCTTCTAAACTAACTTTTAAGTACTAGGGATAGAAGTCTGACAGCAGCCATTAGTACATATGCTAGTGGTCACTAATGGTTTTCTAACATCAATTTCTTAAAGAAGTAGGGAAATATTATTACCTTGAGAACTAGTAATTTGAGGAAAATTCAGAATTATTAATTACAAAAATTGTAAAATTGGCATATAAGTTCTTTACTTTGTAAATACATATTTTATAAATTGTGCCTGTATATTGACACCACAATGTGATTTACCTTTGGGTGGTAGAATTTTAGAATTGTTCTTGTTTTTCCTTGTGTATATTTCTAGTGAAACAGGGCTTTTAGAAGGCATTACTTTTGCAGGTCGTGTTAGTACATACCTATAATCCCAGCACTTGGCAAGTTGAGGCAAGAAGATTACATGTTCAAGGCCAGCCAGGGCTGCATAGTGACTTTAAGGTCACATGGGCTACATAGCAAGTTCAAGGCTGGCCTGGGCTACAGAACAAGACCTTGCCTTACCTACCCAAAAGTTACTTTTAAAACACTAATAGCAGTGTTGAAGTAGCTAATAAACAAATTTTGTTTGCATGTTTTATATAAGAGAAGCCATTCTTTCTGTTAGAGAGATAAGTATAATGCCTAAATAGCACTATAGGTTCTATATATTAATAGAACCTAAATAGTACTAATAGTTCTGTATTAATATTTGAAACTTTATATTATTTTGCACTTGAAACAGTTGAGTATTATTAAATATTTAGAATTGCAAAGTTAATAAGCATTTATTTTGCTAAGTTTACAAAACTATTTCATTAAAAACTGCTCATTGGGCTGGGGATTTAGCTCAGTGGTTTCGCCACCTGCCTCACAAGCACAAGGACCCGAGTTTGATCCCCAGTACCAAAAAAAAAAAAACAAAAAAAAAACTGCTCACTGACCTTTCAGATCCTTAAGGGTCAGGTCACAATAAATTTGAAGATTGATTGTCAGCCTCATGAAATTTTGGTAAATATTGATGCATCAATCTCTGTGCTAGGCTCTCTGTGAAGCCTCTAAGTGTAGCCCTTGGTGCCGTTGCATTTTTCAGAACTTAAGCTATTAACTTAATAGTAGTAGCTAGAGTAGTGGAGTTAAGCTATTAACTAGTAGAAGTAGAGTTAAGATATTAACTCTAATATCTACATATCTAATATCTTTTAATTCTTGGTGAAGTAATTTTTGCTAGCAAAACCTAAAAATAAGATTATGCTTTTTGTTTTCGTGCAGACCCATAAAGTATATAGGCTTAAGAATTTCCTAACATTTACTGTAGCACCATATGTTAGAAAGAACATGGGCTATAGAATCAGAATGACTGGGGTTCACATGTCAAGCTCAGCCTTTTACTAGCTATAAATAAGGATTAAAGTAAGATTTGTGTCTTATTTTCCTTGTCTGTAAATATTCACATGGAGTCAGCCTGCTTTCCTTAATGTTGTGGGAATTAGAAGATGTGATGCGTAATGCAGATGCTAGGTGCTTTTTAAATATTCACTTCCTTACTATTTTATGTGTACATCTTAAGACCTACACTCTAAAAATCCATTTGGGGGGGGTGTTATTTTAGCATTGTCTTCAGATTCCTGACAGTTAACCCCAAAACTCTTTTTGTTTTTTATACTTATTAAAAATATTCCTAAGTTGAGTATCTGTATTTTAATGTCTCCTAGGCCAATAGAAAAAATTTTCGGTCCCCCGGAGTACTGTTTTTAACCACCTTTGAACTTGTGTTGCTACAGTTACATGAATGCACAGTTGTGAATGAATATAGCAGATCCAGGGTTATTTTTTAATAAAGCCATGCCACTAGCTTAGCTTTTTTTTTTTTTTTTTTTTTTTAATGATTGGCCTGATTGTCTTGGTGATTAAGTATGGTGAAAAAAATTCCTGGACAGTAAGATTGCATATCACTGGGTAAGAACATAAGCAAGACAGACACAGTAAAGAAGAAACTGTATTGTTAATTTGGAGGCGTGCATGGACACCATTATTTGAACTGATTAGAAATGAATGAAGAAAAAGGGAAACCCCAGGTTAACACATTCCCGTCAACTTAGACCACTGGTGGTGCATGCGTGACTGTCCCATATGGTGGCTGTACCACTAGTGGTACAAATGGATCTAATCACTTTCATTGGTCTTTTTACTAATAAAATTAATAAAAAACTGCTTTATGTGACAGTCGTGCATGTACCACTGGTGGTTCAAGCCACCCAGCAGTGAGATATATGAATTATGGCACTGTTGTGAACGTGTTAAGGTGGATCAAGAAACAAAAGCATTAATATGACTTTTTTAGACTTTTTTTTTTAAATACCAGAGCCCCATACATAATCATGTAATCACGTTTAATAAATTGTATTTATAATTTAAATCATGATGTGATCAAGCCTTATCTCTGACTTTGAGCAAGGCTGCGGCCACTTGAATTTGTGATCTCTATATCATACTTTGAAGAATGTGTCATTCATTCCTTTTAACTTCACTTGTAAACTTGTAACTGAGAAAAATGTTTTAATTTAATCTTAGTTTAGGGTAAAATGCCCATTTTAGAAGATGATAAAAGGATTGTGTGCAGAATATGTTAAAGATTTCAAACATATTTTATTAGATGAAAAGTATTAATTTATCCCCTTTAAATCATTTTATCTACATAGGCATTAATTCATGGGCTAAATAGACATTATTACTCCATCACCATTAATTATCGGAAAAATGAACTGGAACAGAAGGTAAGATTAAGTTTTTCAAATCATTTAAACTATTATCTGCTGTATGATTTAAATTTGAATTTTTGACCTCTTTTGCTGTTTTCCAGTAATTTTTCACTGTTGATGAATTGCAGCATAAAATAAAGAAATATTTTATTGAAAGACAATGTTTTCTTTATCCGTAGGTACTAAATTGGGAGAAGTAGGAAATGAAACAATCATTCAGTTTTTTATTTTCCTAGTTCTGTGGTTTTTCTGATTAACTTATCTCTATTAAAATGACCTTTTGTAATTCAGTTACTAAATATGTTAGCTTTTCAAATATGATAATAATAAGTTGTGATTCTGTAATATTAAAAATATGCCATGTTTACAGTAAATTAAGGACAGTCAAAGGTAAAAATTTAAGGCTTTCAAGTTTTTTAGGCTAGATTTTTACTTATTTTTTTACTGGACTATTTTCAGATTTAATTACTCTTTAGCAATGCCTAGCATTTGGTGGGCTTTGCATTCTTTTGTTTATTTCTAGAATGATTTCTAGTATTGCTTTTCTCTCAACTATGGCCAAATATTTAACTCTGCCTATTACTTTTTGAAATTGTAATCTGAGCTGCTCTTTTCCCTTTTCTGTTACAATTAATAGTAATTACTAAATTACCTTTTTATATTTTTTCTGGGAAAAACTTTTGTAAAATTTCTTAAGGACCTTGAATTTACTATTGATAACCAATAAGTTTTGGTTACTATACACAGACAAGCTCACACATAAGTATTCAGTAGCAAACAAGATCATTCATACTAGTTGAAGCTATTTTTCATAAAGGTGCCTCCAAGGTGCTTCTGGTTTATATGATGAGTGAAAGGCAGATTAATTCAGGCTGTCCATACCTACCTTGCTTTCTGAAAAATCATTTTCATCTTTAATTTCATTTATATATTGCAGGGGTGAATCTGTATTAGATTTTCTTTGAAAAAACAATCCTACATTATTTTTTTAAAATGACTTGTTTTTTAAAAGTTGAAGCCACCCATATACTCGCCCAAAGGGCACAGCTGTTTGAGTATAGTGATGGACAAGGGGAATAAAGGACCAGCTTCTCCTTGGCAGGAGAGCCCTCTATGAGGCTACACAGCCAGCCCTTAAAGTACACTGGTTCTAACTACAAAAGAACAGAAATCATTCTGTAGCCACTGCCCCCCTCATTTCATAATTTTCATCAGTTATTGAAAAAAATAAAGCTTCTTATTCAATGATAGTTCTCAATTTAAGAAAATTTTTACAGTAAGACTTCAAGAAAACTGTCTTAAAAAATAAACTTTAAAAGCCTATACATTTCTAAGAATATATCCTTGGAATTTGAGTCCAATTTGAAAAACATTGAACTGAGGTTTTTAGTTTCATGATCACTAATAAAGTGTCCATCCCCAGTTTGCCAGTGTGATTACAAATTGAGCAAATCTGATTTACTTCCCAGTTTATGGTTTTTTATTCTAATACAAAAAGAGTCCTTTAAGTTTTTAAATTATGGACAGAATATTACAATTTGAAGGGATGTTCGAGATTAATATAAGTTCTTAATTCATAGATCTATAAATTGAGACCTAAAAAGATTGACACAAAGTCACCTTGTATCTCCTTATCTTGGCATGTGAAAACCTGATTATATGAAAACTTAGTGATTTTGTGTGTAAAATAAGTTTTAATTCATCTATTCATTCATACATATTGTATGCTCTGATTAACTATTGTTATGGAACATTGATGGCGAACCTTTTAGAGCTTTCAATTATAACAAATAGCTAGCCCACTGCAGCATGCCTGCTATAGATTCACCACCACTGCTATAGTCTAGACCCTGATGAACTTGAAAATAACAGAGCAAAGTCTCTGTCCTCTTGATTTCCCTTTAGCAGGAGAGAAATGCCATAAGCAAGAATATCAGGTGTTCATACACATTATAAAAATAATAAAAGGAAAAAGGAAGGAAGAATTTTGTTTAAGATAGTGTAGGGTGGCATTTTTAGATAGTGTGATTAGGGAAAAGCATCTATCTCTAAGGAAAACAGGAGGTAAGTCATGCAAAGATGAGAATAGCCTTCAACGTAGGACTGCAAAGCAAAGGCCATGCAGTTAAAACACTGCTTAGATTATATTAATACAGTTTTAAAAGAGTTCTTATTGGAATATATTTGAATTAATGAAATGAAATTTAAATTCATTAATTCCAAAAGTTTTCTGTGAATTTTTTTCTCAAGGCAAGAAAATAATTATGTTTTCTTTATATTATTTAGATGTTGCTAAATTTGCATAAGAAGAGTTGGATGGAAGGTTTGACACTTCAGGACTACAGTGAACATTGTAAACACAATGAATCAGTGGTAAAAGAGATGTTGGAATTAGCCAAGAATTATAATAAGGTGAAAGTTACTTCTAAAGTTTGTTTTTTAATACATTTTGGAATATGTATGATTAAATGCCAAGCAAATATATAAAAATAAATAATTAAAAATAGCCCTCTTTTATAGATCAAACAGTAAATATTTGTTTTGTATGCTATCTTGTCTCATAAATACCACTGCTGTTGTGATAAAGCAGCCACGGACAATATATAGGCAAATGAAGGTGGCTGTATTCTATTACAATAGGCAGCTGGCCAGAATTAGCCCATGGGTTGTAGTTTGCCAGCCTCTTTTGTAGACCATGTAAGATAGTTGCACATTTGAAATTTCTCCTTTATTCAGGGAATTTTTCTTGAAAGGGAAAGAGAGAAAGAGCATATGGACAGCAACAACATTTAATCCTTGCTGCATATAGTTTATTTTATGAACTTTTCTATTTTCAATTTAATTTTTAAAAGTCTATTTAATAGGTTTTGATAATGTATTTTCAAAGATATGCCATCAGAGATATGGTAAAAAAAACAAATAAGACATACAAAGTCTTTTTTCCTTAAGGAATTTACATTCTATAGGGGAAACATGGTTAATAAATAAATGTGCGTAATAAATTTTGATGAATGCTATGAAAAAATAAGATATAAGGCAGAGTAGGGAGACCATTTTATGTGAGGATGTTTAAAAAGTTACATTTTGCAAAGTCTCCTGAAAATGTTTGTGCTAAAATACATATGACCAGGATAATGTTTTTGTTCATAGATTTATGTTCTCATACTTGAGATATGACTAAAAAATATCTTTCATGTTGTGGAGCTAGGGCTGCCACTTATGTGTGATATTTTCTGTTTTGTTTCTCATTTGACTCCATTTTATTCTGTTTCTATTATAAGAAATGATCAAAAATACAATGTATTTAAATTTTTTTAATGATTACAATGAAAGACACTTTGGCAATAATCTCTCTCAAAATATTCCCCCTTGCTTCTGGAAGTACACTTTCATGAGTGTCTTTAAGAGGTGTGATTTTTTTTTTAATGTGAATTTTGCTGCTGAGTGCCATCCAATGGAAAGGCCAGTTCGTAAAAACATTACAGTGTATCCTCAATCCACCTTAATGAGATCTGGAACCATATGACTTTTTGCTCTTCCCCAAAGTCAGAATGACTGTGAAAGGTAAATATTTTGAGTAGGTTCAGGACATTGAAGCAGCCACAACAGACCAACTAAAGACACTCACAAACTAGGACTTCCAGAACTGCTTCAGATAGTAGCAAGAACAATGGGATAAGAGTGTAAGCAAGGGAGAATATTTTGAGGAGGAGTAATAACATCATATCCTTTACTTTAATAAATTTGTTTTAATTTAAGCATTCACTGTATTTTATGATCATGCCCCATATATATACATATCTTGTCCATACGTACAGATCGTATTCCACTAATGGGTTGAAAGTCTGCACTTTAAAAAAATGCAGGTACTTCTTTTTTTCTTGAAGGAAAACAATGAAAATAGAGCTTTTATAACTGGAAAGAGGAAGGAGTGGAGGAGAGGCAAAAGGGACAAATCCAAGAAGAATTAATGTGTTGTATACATGTATAAATCCCCCATGGTGAATGTGATCATTATGTACTGCAAACATGTAAAAAATTTAAAAATACAGTTAAACATTGTGTAGTGTTTCAGTTACACATATTTATTGAATATCTGTATCTATATAAGTTGCAGTAGAAAACAGATCCTTGCTTTAAAAGAAACAAGAACAGTAAGACAAGTTCTTTTTTTTTTTTTTTTTTAAAGACAAGTTCTTAACCAGAACACTGGGCAAAAATTGGTCTGTATGATTAACACCTTACTATTCAGATTATCCACAGACCAGCTGTGAATAATCATCTGGGATCTTGTTAGAAATACAGACTCTCAGACCTTCTGGCTTAGAACTTACATTTTAACAAAGATATCCAAGAAATTTGTATGCTCTTGAAGTTAGACATTACAAAAACAATGCCATAGAGAAACCCATGTAAAATCTTAATAGGAGTAAAATCCTATCAGAGGCTTTGACATGCAAACACAATTGACAGTTACAGTTCCAAGTTACTGAAGAGAAGAATAGCATTTGAACTAGGCATTAAAGGATAATTAAGATTTAGATATATGAGTATAGGCAAAATACACATTATAGGCACAGACTGGGAGAAAGCAAACACACAGGACATACCCCTTATTCTAATAATAGATATCCAAAGGAAATGAAGTCAGCATATCAAAGTGATACCTATACTTTAATGGTGATTGGAGCAATGTTCACAATAGCTAGGATAATGGAATCAACCTAAGTGTCCAACTGCAGGTAAATATAAATAAAATATAAAGAAGGAAATCTTGTCATTTGCAACATTGTTGATGAACCTGGAGGACATTCTAGTAAATGAAATAAGCCAGCCATAGAAAAACAAATACTGTATGATCTCACTTTTTATGAAATCTAAATAGTTGAAGTCAGAAGTAGAGAGTACAATTGTGGTTACCAATATCTTGAGGCTAGTGATGGGAAGGATAGAGGGATAGTGGGGGAATAAAAACAAGCAAGGAAATGTTTAGGAATAGTGTGCTTGACTAGGGTTCACAGTACATGAGGGTGATCGTGAGAAATTTTTTTTTAAGTTTTTGAAATCAAGTTAATAATAGTACTTAGAATATCAGTGTTCTTTTTATTCAGAGACATGATATGCCTACATCCTGACTTTAGAAACATAATTTTGCAACAGTGTAGAAGGAGTCTTCTAAGAGGAAATTTGAATGATAGATTTTGTCTAAGAGGAGTTTGCTGTTACGCAAACAAAGGGAAACTGTCTGGGTTACTGGTGTGGCATGAGTATGGAGGCATCGGTAAGAAAGTGTAGCACTGGTTGGACAGATGAAGTGAAAGAAGAGGAAGAAATGAAAGATTAAGTCAAGATTTCTTCTTTAGGGTACCAGAAGTATGTTAGTACCATTCATATTTCCAATTTAGGTAGAAGAAATAAGGAAAAGAATAGAGGTCATTTTTAAACAGGGAGTTAAAAATAGGGGACAAAAACTTAATACTCTAGTCAGGAGTAGAATTCAAGATTTCAAGGACATAGTTAAAAATTATATTATTTGTTACACCAAAAGCTACATTTCCTTTTGTTGTTGTCGTTCTTTTGGTACTGGGGATCGAACTCGGGTCCTTGTGAGGCAGGCAACGGAACCACTGAGCTAAATCCCCGGCCCTACATTTCCTTTTTTAAATTAAATATATTTCATAAAAAAGTATCCAAGAGACAATATACATGAAAGTTTTGTGAGAGAGTTGAGCTTTGAAATAATGTTAATGGGCTCATGCAAACTAAATTCCATCAGAATTAGGTTTGGGTTTGAAGAACATGCCCTAATCGATATATAGCGCTTTAACTGGAATCCCTGCTGGTGCTAAATTGTAGTCTTGTTTTTTGGGGTTTTTTTGGTAGATTGTAGTCTTTTAAAAAAAGGGCAAAAATTATTTATACTAGTATTGTTTTCATGCTCTGGAGATTTAAAAAAAAGTAGTTTACCATTTAAAATAGTTAACTTTTTATAAACAAAAACATTATAGCTTAAGCTATTATTCAGCAGACTGTTGGAATGTTTTTCATGTCTCTGTAACATACATTTAAATAAATTCATATTGGTACCACTGCCAGGAAATAACCTATTTATGGTTACTGCTGCCCATCCACAGAAGTTTTTCCTGTTTTACAGTTTTTAAAAAATCTCTGTAGTACTCCAAAATTTGTAAGATTTGGTTAAAAAATGAAAACAATGTGTAAGCTGTGATATGAAAGAGTCCAAATTTGGGAATGTAATTCCCTGTATGATTGAAAGAAATACGGTGAATTTTTTTTTTAGTAACACTTAAAATATAAAACAAAAGGCCTTTGCTTCCAATTTTTTTATAGTATTCTTTTTAATTGATTTGTGATTTAAAGTAAGGTAATTGCTGTTAGATGCCAGTTAGGTCCTAAAGTGGAAGAAGGTTAGAAAATAATTGAATTCCTGTGTTCCAAGTTTTCAATTTCAAGTCTAAATTCCACACAAAAATTCTGCTTATTACTCATTTGATTTTTCTAATTACTGAACTATAACACCCACGGCTCTGTTATTCCAAACCTCCTAATTTATTCATGCCAAGATGCATCTGCTATTTTTTTAAAATTTTGATAATATTTGATTACATATTTGTAAATGAATGTGCAGGTGAAAAAAATGAGTTGCACTGCATTTTAAGAATAGCATAGAAACGAAAATATGCCTTGTTTTCAAGCATGTAGCTTCGAAACTTTTGAGATGTGACAATTTACTTTTCAGATGGATATATTAATTTACTTAGTAATCTGACAAAGTTTGAATATTTCTTTTATATGATTACATATAAAGTATGTAAATATTTGATTAAATTTGATTTACTACAGTAGCTATATTCATCAGGAAATTCTCATTTTGTGCTAGTGTAATAAGAAAAAGAAGCCTGATCATTATTGTTTAAACATGACAGGCTATTTTTGCAATCAAACATAGACATCCAAGAGAATAAACCTGAAAGCTTTTAGAACTATTAAAATTAAGAACTGTATATATAGTAAAAAGACTAATAAATTGGGTAAAAGAGTTTTTAAAAACTCACTGAAGAAAAATGCAAATGGCATTAAACATAAAAAAGTTTCAAACTTATTAAGTAGTCAAAGAAAAGTAACTAGAAATTTTTTTAAATGAAAAGTTTTATGAAAGTACACTGCTAGTGGGAAGGTAGATGATGAAACATTTTTAGGGGCCATTTAAAAATTTTAAATCCATATAATTCTTGAAAAATTGACATTCAGGCATTTATTATGAGAAATAAAATTTCGCAAGAACTAACTTAGAGGAAGATCTGTAACATGTTAGATTCTAAAAGTTAAATTGTGTAATAACGGGCAAAAATTTCCTATCATAATACCTTCCCTCTCTTTTCAAAGTGATC